GATCTGATGAGGCTGCTGTTGAGATCTGACGTGCTAATGACAGGAACGCCATATGAACATTCGAGGGTTGCCACATTTCCCAGGATGAAACATGTACTTTTCAGGACTGATATATATCGACGGGGTAAGTCCGCAATCACATAATCTCGTTTGCAGTGACTGAAAATCTCCACCTTTAAGTTATTTCTTTTGAAGGAAAAAAAATCCTTGCCATTTCCTGAACTTTTTGCAGAATTGTCTTCGCACGGAGAAGAAAAATCACGGCAGTTTTAAAGAATTGCCGTAGAATAGTTTTCCATAAAAAATTAAAGTATGACAGGAAGTCTGAGACGTCGCAAATCAAGTTACCTATAAGATTGCTGACTTACACCGACGAACGACGTTATATATTTTTAGGTACTTGAAATTTTCAAATATTTTAGATGAAATCGCGAAATAAACTACCTGAAAAATTTGAAGAAACTTTGCATAATTTTCCCGATAAATTCGCTTTTTTCTTGAAGGAAATATGGTAACGCTTGAAGGCTCATACGACGTTTTTTCTTGGCACGGCCGAAATGACCGATGTCAAAATCGCGAACGAACCTATAAACTGAGAAGCTGAAAAATAAAAACATTCATATGGGCCGATAGCTCCCTTGCTAGGTCTTAAACCCTCTACCACATGAATTAATGTTGGATCTCAGATTCTGGGGGACACTAATCTGTCTTGCAGCTCGCATAAAAAACATAGAGCACCGATTTCTTTTACAAATTTTTAAATTTTAGTGAATCAGTCATTCAAAAAAAGAAAAAAACTAACGAAAATTTGCAAAATTATACCACAAACAAAAAATTCCATTTTTAAAAACCCCAAAAATACGTTGCCATGAATTCGCATTTCTATACGATTAGGAGGTCAACCCCCTATGGGGGTCAACCTATTTTCATTAGATTTTCCTTTTTTTGAATAACTGATTCCCAAAAATTCAACATGTGGAAAAAAAATTTGGTACTCTACGTATTTTAAGCAAGCTGCAAAACAGATTAGTGTCCCCCAAAATCTGACATCCAAAATAAATTCATGTCATAGAGGGTTAAGGTGGACCGTTTGACGTGCGGAGGAGATCGGAATGTCGGCGTCGGGGGCAGAAAGTTAATTGGACCTGTTTCTATCAAACGGAACTATGTGCATTATAACGTGAGCCCTGTTATGCGTGTATTCTTATGGGTCTCAAAGCTCATGTCTTAAGGCACATAGTTCCGTTTAATAGAAATACGTCCAATTGAAGCTCTGTAATCCGCGGCTCCTGACCGAAATGATTTTAATCCTCGGGAACTGATCGGCGGTAATTTATTGAGTGGCGGTGGCTGGTGCCGGTGCTGGTGGCGAGCCGGGTTCGTGTAATTTATGGGGGTCCCATGTGCTCCGCTTTTAAGTGCAGTCTTTGTCAACTGTCACCCTCACCTCTAACACGTCCTGCTCTACTCACTTCAGTCCCTCCGTCGAGTCGCAACCCCCTCCCTCCACCCCCTCCCTGGAGCTCTGCCGTGGTACCGAAGAGAGCAGTTAGTCCGCAAATGGGTCATAGGTCAAAGTGTCCTAGAAAACTGCCAAAACACGAAAATGTCTAGATATACACGAAGAAAAAAAAACAAACTTCGGTCTTGAAGGCTGATCTTCAGTTCATTTGGAACACTGAAGTTCTCTGTCCCGGTACCCGAAGTGAACTTTACTTCAGAAAACCGCAGTATCTCGTAAAGAATACGAGTTTTAATACGGATAACAAAACGGCCGTGCTAAGGAAGAGCGCCGTACGGTTGTTCAAGCGTTCCCATATCTCTATGATAAAAAAACAAATTCACTGGGATAATTCTGAATATTTTTCCTCCAATGTTTCAGACAATTCTGTTCGTAATTTAATCCATGATATCCGAGACTTTCAGGGAACACGCCGCATTGATTTCTTCAAAAACACATGTTTTATTCGGGAAAATTTGTCAACTCTCGAATTTTTATACGGCGCTCTTTCTTAGACGGCAGAAAAACCCCTGTTTAACGACGGAATTTTTATTAAAAGGGAAAAAAACTCAGGGAAAAAAAATAAATAATGCTAAATAAAGGGAAGGGAAAAATATTGTCACGAAAAAGTATTATTTTGGATCTTTAAGGGCAACGGTAGCGCACTAGTTCAATATACGATGATGTTAGTGCCCTTTGCACACGATTTTGGCTTTGCCGCAGCTCTTTGGAGGCTGTTTTGCTCTCCGTGAAAACACGTCAACTTCAGTTCCCGTCTGTGTGAAATGAAAGCTTGAAAGAGAAAAAAAAGTGTAAGTTTTATTGCAAGTTGAAGAGCATGACAATATTTCCTTTCCTTTTTTTAAAAGAAGAGGATGAAAAGAAAAAAGAGAAGTAAAAGCAGAAATAAGAGGAGCATGCACTGATGAGTCGGTTTAACGACATACAGAATTTTCCAGACGATATAGATCCCTGATGCAGTTAGAATGCATCATAAAAAACAAATGCAAGCGTGAAAATGAATGGAAAAGATCACTACAATTCATTCAAATAGTCCAGTCAAAAAAAAAAACTTTATCATTCATGAAAGTTTTGTGTGCCTTAATCTGTTGAATGACAATTGGAGTGAAAATCTCAGCGATTCGCCTTCAATTACACGTGATGCTTCAAGGCTACCTTCAAAGCTCGAATAGTTTCTCGTTGCATGTTGAAGAATGAACAACTTCATTTAGATTATAATTTCGTGATATGGATGGTCCATCCAGAAAGAAGGAGTGCATTTTCGGGATTCTTCAAGATTGTGTTTTTTCGTTGACGATTCATTTTTGGGACTTATTTTTGATGGACTAATTTTTGTACTTCCGTCCTTGATAAGATTGGGAATATCATTTTTTGACCGTTATCGAATCGTAAAATTGATCGAGATTCGTCGTTTTGCTCTGCTTGATCGTCCGCTCATCCATTTGTCACCAATCAATTTCACCGACACCTCCTCTCCCTTCCTTTTCTTCTCCCCCCTGCCCCCGCCCACCTCCTCCCTAAAGAGTATAAACGCCAGGCGGCCTTTGCTCATTATTCCCGGACTTTGTATTCCTGCCGCGCTCCCCCAAAAAACACTTCACTTAACTTATTCCCGCCGATCTATCTCCTCCTGTGTTGCCAATATGCCTAGAAATTCTATATTTTTAGCTCCTGCTCGATATCATTTTACGGAACGAACTTAAATTTGATTGAAAAAGAGAGTATCATAATGCGTCGCAGATTTTGAGGTTAATTTCTCTGAATCGCACATCCTGGACTTACAATCTTTTTCATACTGGTTCCTTAAATAGCTGCTCCTTACCTCGAAAAGACCTCATATGGTTTACTCTGTAAATAGGGTACAAGTTGCAATTTTTCACACATGCAACAACAACGTAACTGTTTTTTCAGTGTTGGTTCGAACAGCAAAGAATGGAGATGTTGCATGTGAGAGGAATTTGCGATTTGATTGTTGATTCTTACGTAAAAGTTTGCGAGAAACACGATGGTGCCACTGGTTTCCTCCGAAATCAACTCCCAAGCTCAAAGAAAAACTCTCAAAGTGGGGCCAAAATGGAGAGTATATTCCACGCTATCCTGAGAGTCCACGTCTACATCAAGACGAACTCTCCATGTAAAGATAGGGAGCAAATACATTAGCAGTGATGCCGTGTTTTCAGTTTTAGAGTCCCCAAATAAAGTGGCAGCTCCGTCACTGTATTTGCTCCCTATCTTTGCATGGAGAGTTCGTCTTGATGTAGAGGTGGACTCTCAGGATAGCGTGGGATATCCCCCCCCCCATTTTGGCCTCTTTTTTGAGCTTTTTTTGAGCTTGGGAGTTGATTTCAGAGAAAACCAATGGCACCATCGTGTTCCTCGCGAACTTTTACACAAGAATCAACGGTCAAATCGCAAATTCCTCACACATGCAACATCTCCATTCTTTCAACTCTTTGCCAGATAGCAAAACATTTCGTGCGGGAGCCCGCAACACCGCTCCCCTGATTCTTTAAAAGCTCCGCACAAATCAAAATACCAAAATACGGCGAGCATCTTTTATTGCCCTCTCGAGCGACGCACTTTTTTATCCACTCAGTGGCTCATTTGTCTTGCGGATTGCGGTCTGATTCCGGGCTCCCTCGGGCACCCACGCCTACCCGCTCGGAGCCGATATATTTTTTATCCGCTCCCCAATGAAATGCCTCACCCTCTTGGCCCGGGCACTGGGCTCCGCTCTCTCGACTCGAGCACTTTTAATCAGAGCAAGTGTTGAGGTGACTGCTCGGACGGCAACGGTCACTCCGAGGGCGCGGAACAAAGTGACACCGCTTACCAAGTCAATGAGACTCCTTTTTTTATCGCTGCCCATTCGCCGCGTTATGCCGCTCACGCACACCCTGGTCAAAGATCGTGACGCCGCCGGCCGTTGAAGGGATTCTCAGTAAAGTCTGAAATAGAGGTCGGAATCAGGAGACTCCCATCTGAGTATATAGACTAAGTGCACTGAATAAAACGGTTATTCGCGAGAACCGTCGATGGGAGGGTATGGATTCGATCGAAAAATGAAAGCGTGAACCGACCGACGTGATTCGATCGGCACCGATTCGATCGACAAACCTGTGAATTGTTCGAAAAAACCGTGAATCGATCGACGACGCCGTGATTCGATCGGCAAATCCGTGAATCGATCAACAAACCCGTGAATCAATCGAATTTTGTCGATCGAATCACGTCGATCGGTTCTCGTTTTTATTTTTCAATCATTATAAAGTTTTAAGTGTATCGATTCGACGGATCAAAATTTTCAAAATAGGATTTTAAAGTCGATAAGTCATCTGTTGTAAACAAGAATGCTCGAATTAAACAGCAATCTTTTGTTGCGATTGAACACGGAATAATCTAGAAAGAGAGTATCAGTGTGCTGGTAGTATACTTTGGAATAAACTGTTCACGTGAAAGAAGAAAACCAAACATAATCAACATTTAGGTACAATATTTATTTATGAAACATAACATTGTACAAAACTAAAAATAAAGCATGCTGCAATTCAGCGTATCTGAAAAGTGAAGCTGCAATTTTATAGGTGTTTCTTAATTTAACTTTAAAATGGAGATACCATCAAATTTCCTCAAATTTAGCTTTACAATTTTTACGAGCAGTGGGAGTAAATGGAAATATAATATCCGCGCTCACAAAGGGTATGTGCATAAATTTTATTTACTTTTTGTCCGAACTGTTAAATTTCAGGATATTATGGTATCAGAAATATAACCGAAAATATGTATTATGCGTTGAATATCACATCTGAATTCAACACCTTAGAGATTGAAGATTGAGAGAATTGAGATTGAGGAGTTGGAGGGTTTTTTCTCTTTTCTTTTATTTCACTAAAAACACTGTAAGTTTTGACACACGCCAAACTTATATCTGCTACATGGTTAAGAATGGAGCGTCAGGGGATATTCTGAGAAACTTAAGTTATGCTAATGACAAGTTTCAATAGCAGTGGCATTGGTAAGATAATAACCATAATTATAAAAAAATTGTGCACCGACTTACACAAACGTGGCTAATATGCTATGAACCTAACTTAACAAAACATAACCATGTACCCCCGATCACGCAGTTATCCTAACAGATTATTAGTTCCAAGCATATTGTTACTACCCGTAGGGGAACCCATATTTACAGTGCCTTCATTCACCCCTTCAATAACATTAACTTTACCTTGACCATTTTTAATCACCACATCGTTATTAGAAACTTTGTTGTTACCATTTTGGGTTTTATAATTGTCAGTCACTTGGTTGCCTGATCCTATTGAGTTTCCACCCCCAACTTCGTTATTATTTGCGACTTCGTTATCACTCCCTATGGTGTCTCCAACCCCAATTTTGTTACTGTTACCCACGGAGTTTCCATTTCCTGCTTTGTTACCATTTCCTGCAGAGTTACCGTTCCCCGCTTCGTTACCACTCCCAGCTCTGTTATTATTACCGGCAGAATTGTTATTTCCTGCCATGTTGTTATTTCCTGCCCTGTTCAGGTTTCCTGCTGCGTTCTGATTTCGAATCAGGTTTTCATTCCCAGCTAGGTTGTTACTCCCTTCTGTATTAACGTTACCTCCATAGTTAGTATTCCCCACTTGGCTCTCGTAACTTCTGGGGATTGGGTACGTTTTGCCATCCTTTAGACTAGGAGCTGTTGAGGGTGTTCCTGTGTTGTACTCTCCCGAGGGTAGAGCTTTCACACCGATGGTGAGGAAGATGAAAAAGATGGCTGTCAGAGGTGATTCAGGCGAGGCGAGTCGATACATCAGATCGCTTTTACCGTAGGTACCGTTGGTCAAATGAATAATTTCTTTCTCGATGAAGTTCTGCGTAAGCTCGTGACAAAAAAACACTAAGTTCTAGCCCAAAGTCCACTGCAATGAGGGAAAAAATGGCAAATTAATCGGATGATGGATCACGCTGATCAGAAAAAAATGATTTCACTCTAGGATCTGATACTTTCCTGCCCAATTCAAAAAATCCAAACTAAATGGAACATCTTTAGAGGACTGAATAATGATGAAACAAGAGCGTCTATTTTATTCCGTCAAAAACATTCAACATTCTAATAAGTGCAACTCACCTCGCAATTTAGAAATTCACGAACCGAAGTTATATACCATGGGGGGGGGGGGTAATAATAATTCTTGTAGCATAGAGGCTTGACAATGTCATAAGGGAATGGATTTACAGGATAATGTTCTTCTAACTATTGCACTATTAAACATATTTTCCCTCAGTGCAATGAACTTTCAACTAGACCGTAGTGTTTTTGTCTCGTTATTACACCTCAAGCAGAGGTTTCATTCCAAAACCAGCCAATCTTACTATTTGACACGCATATTTCGAACCAAGAACCCTTGGCTTTCGCACTTTCCTTTCGTTATTTTTTGTTTTCGACCAGCTGATTTCTTAAGTTTAGCTTTGTGTTTGTTCCCAGTAGAATTCCCGTCCTCTATACAGTTATAGTCCTCATTTTTGTTTTCAATTCCTTTTGCTTTGGTTTATCCTCGACATCCTTCTTTTCATCCGTCTTATTTTACTTTACAAGGATCATAATTCTTCCCCTCCCCCTTCTTTTTCTTCTTCTCCTTTTCTTTTCCTTTTTTGCAATGGTCTGAGGTTCAATCTCATGCCCACTGTTCCTTTGAATGACCCCCATACAAAAGTTTTAACTAGGGATAAAGAAAATCACATATAGACTGCATAAAATGAACCTAAGCGATTTTACATCAATTCATTTCCGAAGGTCAAACTATGAGACAATCTGATTTGGTGGAAGGAGACATTTCTCTAGGTTACATATCGACGGTGAAACTACCAAACTACGTATCTCGGTTTGCGACGTCGCAGACTTCCTGTCATACTTTATTTTTTAAATGAAAAACTACTTAACATTCAGTCTTGAAAATTTCTGTGATTTTACCTCTTTGTGCCGAGAAAATTCCGTGAAAATTTCAAGGAATGATATTGATTTGGTCTACTTCAAAAAAATAAAATGTGAGCGTAGATTTTTAAACACCGCAAACGAGATACGTGGTTTGGTAGTTTCACCGTCGATATGCGAATGAAATAATATAACCAAAAAACATTGTCATGAGAATTGATCCTAAAGTATTCAACATATCAGAGAAAATTGTCTAATTTCTAGGTTATCGACTGCCATGGTTTAATTTGGGCTCATGACTTTGAGATGGGGGGGGGGGGGATATAAAAGTTACTTCTTTACTCCAATAACTCTGAGCGTAAGTGACATTATCCGAACAAATTCCCAACGCCAATCATCTTATTAGTGGCACTTGGGGAATCCATATTTACAGCACCACTATTGTAGCCCACCATTACGTTTACGTCCTCACTATCCGCTATTTTTACATTGTTATTGCTTACATCATTTCCACCTGAAATCGTCTGGCCATTGCCGGACACGGTGTTATCAGTTCCAACCTTGTTATCATTCCCAATCTTGTTCCCTAATCCTGCTTTGTTGCCGCTCCCAATTTTGTTGTCATTCCCTACGCTGTTACCGTTCCCGACTTTATTGTCGTTCCCGGCACTGTTATTGTTTCCTGCAGAGTTCCCACTTCCGACTTTGTTGTCGTTCCCCGCAGAGTTACCATTCCCTGCTTGGTTGTTGTTCCCTGCAGAGTTCCCATTCCCTGCTTGGTTACCGTTCCCCGCAGAATTCCCGTTTCCCACTTCGTTACTATTCCCTGCTGTGTCCCCGTCTCCCTTGTAGTTCTGATTTCCTTTGGATTCGACGTTTCCACTGTTCGTCACGTAGTTCCGTGGTGTGGTCATAGGTGTTTCTCCGTTCGGTCTTGCTCTTCCGTCGATGACGAGAGAGATGAGGAGAAGTGCTACGAGAGCAAGTCCAGGGAAAGCGGCCCGATGCATTGGATCTCTCCTGGGCTTCGTTACTCAGTTCAAAGGAATTGGTTTTCAAAGGTAGTTACGGGGGGAATACCTCTGAATGGCTGTCCGTGGTAAAAATTTGACAAAAAAACTACGACGAAATTGCAATAAAGCCGAAAGTCCACTGCACCCAGAAAAAAAAAAAAAATTGGTAAATTAATCGTGTGATTTATTGAATGCTCGCCCTAAGGCAGCTCTGCTGACTCTGGTCTGATAATGTGATTTCTGAAAAGGAGAGTCTACTTTTTCTCGGTGAGGTTTTTAGAGATTTTGAAAAAAGAGAAAAAAACTCAAATTGTAAATTTATGAAAATGTTGGAAAAATCACACTGGCTATTTTCTTGTATATGTAAGGCAGTTTGCTGAAATCCTCCTAAAATTGTGTTAAATTTTTCATGGTAATGTGTGCACCTCACTCTGGAGTCTACACAGCTCCTAAAGAAACTGTGTGATGTATGAATGCAGAGCAAAATCTACTCTTTTTACACGACTTACCTTTTTATAGAGCGGAACCCACTCTTTTTGCCGAGCGTCTTAAGCTCTCATAGAGTGAATTGGATTGCATTTTGCAAAAAGGAACCACTAGCATTGCAATGTTGCTAAGATTGTGCAGCTTCTTTTGTCTTGGAGGAAAAACCCGATTCTCCATTAATAGTTTCTATTTTACTCGCTAAAAATTGTGAATTTAAGACAAAAATTACCATCTAAATTTCATAGTTTTTCACAATTTTCGCAATTTTATTGCAAAGGATGAAGTTGCACAATCTTAGCATCATTGCAATGCTAGTGGTTCCTTTTTGCAAAATGCAATCCAATTACTCTTGGCGTTCATGTCATTTGGGTCCTTTAGACGTTATATAGACTTCGGAGTGGTACACACTATTTCACTCCAAGATTTTCAACAGTGATTGCTACCTAAATGCTATGGAAGGCGCATGAAAAAAGACTCATTCCTTTAAACATTTATTTGATTGCAAAAACTCCTTAATAATTTTATCTCGTGCTTGATGGTTATGTCAAAATAGAAAATGTTCCTCCAACGATCCGCTAATTGAATGAAATGTACAAATTATTCATGGAATCTTGCGTATAATTTTTGTAAAAAAGGGACGAAATGGAACATGTCTAGGTTCTTAAATACACCATTGAGAGAACTGAGGTTAGGTGGAATTAATGTAATATACTCACCGGCAAAAGTCTTCAGGCGAACGTCGCACAAACTTTGAGAGAAAATGTCAAATTCAGCTCAAATACTCTCTTCATTAGAGGTCAGCCATGATAGCAGTAATAGCCTTCACGTCAATGTTCATGTAAATTTTTCTAAAACTAAGTACTTTTACATTGGATTCGCATCAGTATGTATCTACGTGGAGGAAATTCAACGAAGAACAATGAACAGCATGAAATTAAAAAGTTTACGTTTTTTTAATGACCGAGAAGTAAATGATTTCCTAGCTCTTGTTTAAACTATAGAACAACAACAGCTGATTAGGATGAAAAGGATCTAGTTTTTCCTCACAATTTCCGCGTGGAATCTGAAGATTGTCACAATCAGAAACTTGAAATAAAAATTTTGGTGTGCTCTAGAAAAATTCAATGATGATTTGCATTCAAAGACACTCTTGCACCTGAAATTGGCGAATAAATGCAAGGTTAAACGGTGCTGCTGACATTGGTTCAATGATAATAGCCGCCTTAATTTTCATATTCGAGCGCTAATTTCAGAACTTGATAAAATAATGTTGGTCTCGTTTATAAAACGTGTAACAGAAAATCGCCAAAAAAGTAGTTTTCCTCGTTGTAATGAAGCTCATTTTACCACTTCGAGGCAAAAATATAAACACTGCTTTAAAAAAACACTTCCTGCACAATTCAACACATTTTAATTTCCGAAATCAATCTACAGATGGCCTGCCTTGCGAAAGTAAAACTTTGTATAAACATTACGTTACCAAAATGTTTTGGTGAAATTTCTTTGGAAATCCTTTGAATATTGCTTTTTGAAAATGGAGAATTTTCTTCGAAATTTACTTTCATGCTCTTTATACTTTCCAGGAAAAGAGTTCATAACTTTTCTCAAAAACATGCATTCAATGTGAGGATTGTTGGGAATGTTCAAATGTTCATGCTGCAATAAATTATCTTCAACATCTTCAACACGAGAAACCTTACTAACGTCGTCTTGTCCCCTAAATATAGCTTCGGTTGTTTGTACTGTCTTTCGGCCTTTTTTTAATAAATGAGGAGTTTTTCATTACTTTTTTTCTCTGTCTTTGAGAGATTTCACCAATATCTCGCATCAAAATAAGAAAAGGAAGCAACTCTTTGAGAACTTGGATGGGAAAAAATGTCCTTTCTTAAGAAACATGACATTAGAACACTATATGAAATCTTAATTTCAGCAAAATGTTGTTGTAACATCAAAATTTTGCGTACAAATCAATTTTTACAATGAAAATTCCCAAAATACCGAAACAACACGTAAAGGTTATTACTTAGCATGGCTAAAAATTGAGTGTTTAACTCGGAAGGAAAAAAACTGATGACATTTAACGGCACTTCATGCTTCTTTCAAATAACGAAATAGGTATAAATCATCGGCTCTCAGGGAACTAAATTTAAAGAGAACTTGCGCAAACAATGCGGTTGAAGATCACTTTATATTTCGTTTCGTTCTTCCTAAAATTTGCTTTTATCTTTCTAGAGCGAGTGTAGAAATTTTTAATTTTCCCGATGGTTACGTAATTCATTTAACTTGCATGTGGTTGCATTGTTGTTTCAAATTCTGTCAGAAATGCAAATTAAATTTATATCTCAGAAAATAAATTAGCTTATTTATTTGACCGCGAAACCCATTATACTTACAAAAACAAAAAAAAAAAAAAAAGGACACGAAATTCTAAAATTTTAAAAGAGGAGTAATTTTATTCGTTTGGTGTTTCCATCAATATGTATTTTTCATTTTTCTATGGTACTATAATTCCAAACTCAACTACTTTTTCTAATGTGAGCAAACTTTTGTGACGCCTCGCTATTCCTCACTCAGTTCCGAAAGTATGTAATAATTACTGAAGGATTATATGGATTACATTTTGCAATAAGGAACCACTAGCGTTGCAATGATGCTAAGATTGTGCAACTTCATCCTTTGCAAAAAAATTGCAGAAATTGTGAAAACTATGAAATTTAGATGGTAATTTTTGTCGTAAATTTACAGTTTTTAGCGAGTAAAATAAAAACTATTAAGGTATAATCGGGTTTTTCCTCCAAGACAAAAGAAGTTGCACAATCTTAGCAACATTGCAATGCTAGTGGTTCCTTTTTGCAAAATGCAATCCAAATGTGGTTTAATAATTTCAACTTCTGTCGCCGCGCCACGCCGCGCTGACCGCACTGTGTTTGGCGCAATGCGTGAAGTATTCCCTCAGTCTTGTAGGCGCTATGCGTTCCACGCCGCCCGCTGCTGACCGTTGCGACCGCACTGTCTTTGACGCAATGCGTGAAGTATTCATGCAGTCTTGTAGGCGCTAATATGTTTTACATGTCGACCGCCGCGCCGCAACGAGGGTTTCTCCTTTTCATCTCAAGTTCTCGTTATCATTGCTCTCTGCGACGCGCCGTTCTAGGCCAAATTCCGTGTTCCAATGCTGGTGGTTTTGCAAAATGCAATCCATATGAACTTAATTTTGCGATGAAAAATTACTTTTTTTGGCTCATCCATAGAAGCACGCATCTTCATTGAGAAATACATGACACATATTGTGTTCCTAAAATGAGCCAGAAATAAAAGTTTTTGAATGCAAAATTAAGTCCGTATTGTTGTCATCCAGACGTCAGAACATGACTGCACTTTAACGTTGCAAATTAACTCTCACATTTCAATTTCCTACAAGAACATGATAGTGCAATTTCTTTCCAAAAATGTTGCTTATTTTTGCGAGTAGTTACAAGAGAGATTATTGAGATTCCCAGTTAGAAATCCCCAACAGTTCATTCAGTAGAGATGCAACTTTCACATGTACTTGCGTTCTTTCAAATCGACGATGAAACTATGAAACCACGTATCTCAGCTTGCGACGTTGCAGACTTCCTGTCATACTTTTTCTTTGCATGAGAGAGCTACTCATCGTGAATATTTAAACAATTCCGTAATTTTTGCAATCCGTGCAAAAAAAAAAAAAAAAAAAAAAAAAAAAATTTGGAAAAAAAATCAAATAAATTATGTATGTGTGTTCTCTTTTTAAAAGAAAGGAAATAGGAGGGGAGATGTTCAAACACCGTAAACGAGATATACGTGGTTTAGGAGCTTCATCGTCGATATCCTTTGGCAACACAACAGGAGAACGGGAACAGAATGACGAAAAACTGTCGAATAAACGGTTTTCCTTGTTGCAATGAAAAAACATTCTCGGTGTGTTAGTTTCCGATTATTGAGAATGGCCAGAAATATTTCCTACGAAAAGTTGCATCCGGTCCGGAGGGGGAAAGGCCATTAAAATTCATGAAAAAACCGCTCGGATCGCGAACTTTATGGAAACAAATGCGAAGGGAATATGAACCGATTCCATAGCAAGTTCATCATCGAGAGGGACATTGCGGTGCTATGAAAAAACGTCGTATAGACATCTAGACGCTGCCAAATTTCTTCTGACAAAATATGAATGATCCATGATTCATATTGAGCTTGCACTCTCGCCAGACCGTGCACCAGAGAAAAACTTTAAGAGTAAAGTTCATAATCCATTGCTGAAACTGAAAATTTCATTCGTGTGCGAAAAAGAGGGTGGCCGAAAGAGTGTGCGAAATTATGAGCTCACTAATGTGAAATATGTATCCTTTGTGGCAGCCGATTAAAGAGGCGACAATTTTTCGGAAAGGGCGTTCAAATAGTCGACAACCAATTCTGTTTTAGTTCTATTGACCACAATGTCACCTGAATGACCCTTGGCACGCTGTAGAGAGCTCTCCGTAAAAATATTTAAGCCCGGTTAATCAAACCAACTCGGCAAAAATAACTTTACTTGGAATTTTGTATTCATGGGTTAATGCCTCCTCTCAACAGACGGTCCCATTTTGGAGGAAATTTGGCGAAATTCAAGTACTCATACGAGGTTTCTCCATAAGCGCAGCAGGCTTTACCGAGGAGACGACGCACAGTGGATCAAGTGAATGGGAGAGATCGGACGAGATTTGGAAACTTTAAAAGCTTACAACTCCGATCATACAAAACTTTGAGGTTATAAAAGTGATTCCATTGGTTTTCTCGTGAAATTGTCTTTCACAGGTACCCCTTAAAATTTAAATTTTGACGAATGAAACATCAAAATGTACAGTTTTAGTGAAAAAGCTCATGTCTGACCTCTCTAATTGACTCGATTCACTGTGCGACGGGCTCACATTAAAACTAAGTCGCGCAATAAATAAGAGGAATGTATGTCGCTTTGCGAGTGGTGTGTAGCGGCGATTGTTTATGTATTCTGAAGACTGAGCGAGTGATCTTGGAGCTACCCGAGGAGCCCCCGGAGTCAGGAACGGAACAAATTAAAGTTCGGAAAAGGTCTGAAAAGACGCGACCAATCGTCCGAAACTTTAATATCGTGAACATAATAAAATAATATCCCCTCCTCGACGGGGCCCTTCCAGAGTTTCGTGCGAGTTCTTTTGAAAGATTCTTCACCGAGAATTTATCGCTCCTCCGGAAGGATGCGGAAGTGTAATCCGCCGTTTCTTTTGCTCTGTTGTCGAACGCCACCCATGTCAATATTTTGAAGCACAAAGAATTTTTGTTGATATCATAATGCAAAAAAAAAAATTAAATAATGAAAAAATGAAATAAATAAATAAATAAATTAGTGGCCGGTGTATTTTAAACTGCTGTGTCCGAAAATAACCTTTGTGCGTTTCTATCACTCACCGCACTTTTTTGGAATAGTCTACTTTCATTCCGAGAAATGCCGGGAAAAGGTGTTCTTGCCATTTTGCAAGGGTTAGGGTCAAGAATTCCTCCGGTTTGATTAGGGATGATTCAAGTGTATATTAAGCTGCTGAACCCAAAAATGACCTCAGATTCTATTATTTCCCTCCATTTTTCTAGGGAAACAACATTTTTTGGAACAGGCTTTTCACACTGTTTTTCGGAGGGTGTTTCAGAAAAAATTGGGTCGGAAAAAAAGGAAGAAAGAACTGGAAAGGTGCTAATAATATTATCCAATTTTAAGAATTTCAGCACTAAAAAGAACTTTTGCACACCTTGAGCGATCACATTATGCAAATTAATATAGTTAGAAGACATTAAGTGG